GGGATCCCGCCTGAAGTATTGAAACACGGCAGACCCGCGTTGTTGACTGCGCTGCACCACTTGGTGCAACGCGTATGGATTGAGGAGGAGGTACCTGCTGAGCTGAGTGACACTGTACAAGGGCAAGAGAAGCAAGCAATGTTGTACGAATTATCGTGGCATCAACTTGCCGAGTTGTGTGGGCAAGGTGCTTGCCCGAATCCTGCTCAACCGCCTCGTCAGTCAGGTTGTGGAACCTAACGTGGCGAAAGAACAGTGTAGATTCCGTTCGGGTCGCAGCACTATAGCTATGGTGTTTGCGGCTCGTCAGTTGCAAGAGAAGTGCAGAGGACGACACCAGCCATTGTACTCGCTTTTTGTTGGTTTCACCAAGTCATTTGATACGGTGAACCGCGAGGCATTGTGCAGGTGTTGGGTAAGTTTGTTTGCCTGCGTAAGTTTGTAAGTCTAATTGAATGTCTGCACAGTGGTATGCGATCTAGGGTGCAGCTGAGTGGAGAGACCTCGGATGACTTTGCAGTTGTCTGGTGTGAAGCAAGGCTGTGTCTTAGCTCCTGTCCTGTTTAAAATATATCTCCATGCAATAGTGTCTTGTGCTTTTGAATCGGATTGTACTTACGGTGTTCGTGTGGAGCACCGTATTGATGGTGAGTTGCTGAACATCCGTCGTTTCGGTGCGAGAACCCCAGTCTGTGAAATAACCATCTGTATGTTGCTGTTCGTTGACGACTGTGCGTTGTTTTCACACAGCGCGGATGAGTTGCAGCATATGACTAGTGCTCTGGCTTCGACAGTGGCCAAATTCGGGCTCACCATCAACACAAGCAAAACTGTCTGTCTCTTTCAGCCTTCACCGGAGGTGCAATCTACAATGGTGCCGCGAATCAGCATTGGTGATGTAGTATTGGAGACCACCTCCCGTTTCAGCCACCTTGGGTGTGTGATGTCGACTGATCAGCAGCTACACAGTGAGCTGCGTATCCGCGTGTCGAAGGCAGCAGCGGCATTCGGGAAGCTTGAGTACCGAGTGTGGAACAACCATCAGCTCAGCATTGGCACGAGGCTGATGGTGTGCAAATCCATGGTGCTGTCCGTTCTTCTATGCGGCAGCGAAACGTGGACGATGTACTGGCGTGATATGCGACATCTGGAGCCGTTCCATCAACAGTGTTTACGACGGATTCTGTGCATTGGTTGGTGCGACAGAGTTGCGGACACGGAAGTGTTGCGCCGAAGTGGAATGTATGCAGTTGACTGCATACTTTTGCTGAGACACGTGAGGTGCCTCGGCCATGTGGGGCGTATGGATTTGACGCGGATACCGAATCAGCTAGTATCTGGTCAGGTGAGTGTTGTGAAGCGGCATATGGGGAAACAGATGCTTCGTTACCAAGATATGATCAAAGCGAGCCTGTCAAGTTCTAATGTTGTTTGCAGGTCATGGGAATCGAAGGCGGTTGATCGGCGTGCATGGCGCGATCTGATTGCGTAGGCAGTTGAAGAGGTGCAGGATAAAGCCCTCATGCATGCGGAGAAGCGGTAATTGCAGAAGCGATAGGCGCCGATGGGTTGTAATCCATGGACCTACAGTGCATGGTGCTGTAGCACTTGCGGTCACAATTGCCTGAGTCATGTAGACCTAGTGAGCCATGAGCGACGCTACTCTGGGTCACCACCGAAGCGACGACGGGTCCTGCAGAGAACGCAGGCAGAACCGGCGTAGCGTTTGTAGGTACGCTGCACTCGATTTACTAACCGTGTGCTTGCTTGCTGAGTCTCTATTTCAGGTGGTGGGTTTTCTATATTGTCCTAATGCTTTTTTCTGTCCTATTAATGTCTACCTGGAATATCTTCCATAAACGTGCACACGTCGCTGAAGCTAATTGTAGTTAATTACGATAACATTTTCGCGTTTGTGGCATTTCCTTAATATATTTTTTGACGTCTTGAAATTATCGCGAATTTCTTCGTAATCAATATTTTATACGTCTATTACGTGAAGAGTTATGTCTCCGTATCTGTATGCATTATCCGATTTAGTTTCTTTACCTTTCGTTTCAAGTGATTGACTGTTGTTTGATATCCCTGGTGTGACTGCGTTTGATGTGCATGTTGACAAGGTGCCTACCTGCCTATTACCCACTACCTCGTCCATACTGTCTCTAGGAGACAGTTGGTCTTTGCTGTAGGGGACGGGGTGCACGGTCCTTGTGGCCGTGCTAGGATCAAAGAGCGGTTCCATGCACTCAGTGTGGAGTGGACTGCTGTCCAGCCAACGGCTTGTGTGCGACTGATTCCGAAATACAGCGTGCTTGTGTTTGCGTGTGAAGGAGTGTGGGCGGGCTCCGTTGATGAAACGTGGCTCCCATCCGCATGCCTCACGGTTTTATTTCTTCGGGTTTACACTGGATATGGGGTGTGTTGATGGAGCTGTGGGTGGTGCAGCGCAAGCCAGTCTTGGTCCGTCTGTAGGCGCAGGCGTCATGTGGCTGGCCACAGTGACAGGGACATCCGGAACCGGATGCCGCCAACCATATGCATATATAGTTAATCCTCAAGCTTTAATTCGGCTGTCTCAGCGTGTATTATTTGACTGAAAACTCGCCGTCACAAAGCATTGTTGTAAGGGAAGGGGATGAAGATACTAATTGCCAAGCCGTGATGTTTCCCCTCTTCGTGTATACGACCATAGGGGTGGAATGCACCAGGGACAATATGTCCTGTCGAATGGGGTGTAGTCGCAAAGTCGATGTTTCTTTACTGTTCATTGCTCTCTTCCTGATCCTTACTGTTCCATCTGACGATTTCAATTCTGACCTATTCCTCTTGCATTATAGCTGTTCTTATTTTTACCATTTGTTATTTAGCGACCAGCACTTATCTCCAGTTCACCTCAGCCTTCACGCCTTATTTGATTAATTGAATTGTTATTGCGGAAGTGTCTGTCACGGCTGTATTCGCATCAACTCGTTGGGCACAACGCTTGGGGTACTACAGTGTTAGCTGTGGGCACTCCTAGCTCTAACACACACCTTATTCGCATCCGTGATCCATATCAGTGTACTTAGGCAAGGCTGTTGTTGTCATTTGCTGGCTACAGATTAGATTGAGGCACCTTCCTCCATGTGATTTTGAATTCCCCAATTTTAGCTTCTGCGATCTGCTGTGCTATCTGCCCCATTAGTCAAGCATATCTCGCCCATATTCCGTTGGGTGCTCTTCGTGTCATTGCTTTTCATACTTTTATCAATTGCATGGGATCCACTAGATCGGAATTAGCTCATCATTTTGCTCGCCTTCCACGTTTTTATTTTTTTTACTGAACGCCCTAAGTACCCAGTTTGAATATACCGGGGTTGAGTGTTTATAGCTTGATGGTTTCAACTTATTTTCCATCGACTATAATATTGGTGCTTTCTGCAGCAAAAGGATAAGAATTACGCTACTAACTCTTCCTGATTACTTCCGGTCAAGTTTTATCTTTTGTTCACATACACGTCGCACACGCCTACTAGCATCCACAGTTTAATCTCATCCACGGGTTTAGCCTGGACAGCGAGTTACCCCCCGGCATCACCGTGCAAGTTAGTGTCCTACCAGCCTCATTCGCGAAACCAGTTGCATTCTGCTTACCTTACTTTGGTGCACTACGCGATGCCGCCTTAACTAACCATACTGCTGTCAGTTGATATAGCATAGCTACGAATGTTCTGTTTTTAGAGTCGACTTATCACACTGGCCCACCGTCAAGTTTCTAGACCTTGTAAGCTCACTAAATCGACTATCCGTTCATAATCTTCAGTTATTAGATTTTTCGACCACGAGTAATAGACTGCTTTCCGTTGTTTACACTGTTACTGCTTTTGTATTCACATTTGGCGCTATACGGCGACACGAATATGGGGGTATGGTCATGGGTGGTGTAGTACACATCCCCATGGTTTCTGAGTAGGCACCAGACTTTCCGGCATTTTCGGAGACGAATGCTGCCAACGGTGTTTACTCGCCTATGCGTACGGTTGCCTGTTTTGTGGCGCATTCACCACCCATCTACTTTCAAGATAACCGCAACTTTCATTCCAGCAACTCATTAACGGCCATTCGTCACTGTCGTGTCTACGCGAGTCAAAGACTGTTTGTTTGGTAGGCCACCGCTCTCGGTTAACTTGGTGCTAGCTGGCATCTGGTCACCCACCTTTGCTCTGGCCTTATCGATCGCTTTCTGGTAAAGCATGCGGGCGCATCGTGTTCACCTCTTGATGTGTTTTTATTTTGGTTAGAACACAGCTCTTCATCTCTCAATATTTCGTTGCAGTAGCAGAAACTTCGAACACTAATCAGAACTGACTTGTCAATAGTACACCGTGGATTTAAGCCTTCAGAGTTGCATATGCCCATCTTACTATTTTTCCTCACCCTCGTTTGTTTTTTATAACTGTTTCATTCTTTGTCTCATTTAGTGTGATCGTCTTTTGGTTGGTTTAGCGGCGCATCTCAATGTTCATCTGACTGTTTCTCTACTGGCGATGGTGGACTCTGCAATTCAATGATAGGCTTTGTTCCAGACTTGGATGGGTACTCTCTGCCTTAGGTCCCTTATACATAGTGAAGCTATTATGGCGCTGGTTTGTATAAAGCTGTTTAAACGGTCCGTTTACGTGCACCTTGCGTTGCGTTAATGCCTCGGGACAAACTACCTCACTAACACACTCTTACTCGCAATTTTCCAATCCGGTTAGATTGATATTGTGAAATTTGTTTCAACTTTTCGGCTGTAAGCGAATTCGTACGTGGTTTTGATTTTGATTCTTCTCTGAGCGCGTTAGCGGCACAATAGCGGAGGTGTTTTCCCACTTCTAGCTGGTGTGTATAATGATATAATGATGACTGAGCGCGTTAAGTTTGCGCGGTGTTTCTATTTATTATGTACAGTCCTTATGCTTGATTTGATCCGTCTATACAGCTGACCTCGTTTTTTTAATTCATTTATTACAAACCAGATTACTACCAATGGGTTTCGTTGGTGCTGGCCTTGCAAGCGATCATGTGTTACGTTCCACGTTTGATCTGGAGCACGATCACCTTCAATCGTATTGGGACCAATCTCGGTTTTCTAATCGAGTCAGCTCAAGCCGCATCAAAGGAGACCGGTAAAGAGAGAACAAGTCGGGTTCAGTTTGTCGCAAACGTCATGGATACGTTACTCTTCGCTCGTCGGGATCTTCGCAAAGGTAACGATCACACTCGTCCCCGTGGAGCACTGACAACTTGCCTCCAGGGCATTCATGATCTGTTCCCTAGGAAGCGTTTGGGCACAGCACTAGCCAGTTACTACATACTTGTGAAATTTCTCTACTTTCTCAACGCAGTAGTGCAGCTCTTGATCATGCAACGTTTTCTCGGCGCGACTGGACAGTATCAGTTATTCGGTCTGAGTATACTGAATGACCTCCTCATGGGCCGCCAATGGAATGAAACGAGTATCTTTCCTCGGGTCGGTTTCTGTCGAGTGCCCATCAAGCTGACGAGTACCCCTATACCAATGGTAACTGTGCAATGTACCCTACCTGTGAACATGTTGAACGAGAAGATCTACGTGTTTCTTTGGTTTTGGTTCGTTTTCGTTGCTTCGCTTCAACTAGTGAGCATCTTTATGTGGGTATATCGACTAGCGGTGCGACAATCCCGCCTGCGTCTTCTGGTGCGCTATTTGAAGATCGCAGACGCATACGATGAGGGAATGGATCCTCTGTTGATGCGATTTGAGATGACATTTTTACGTCCCGATGGTAGTTTCCTTTTGCAAATGATGCGTTTAAACGCTGGAAGCCTGATCACTCAGGAAATTTTGCAAGCAATGCTCAAGCGTTATACGCAGCAGGAGGAGTATGCATTGGCACAGCAAAATAAGAAGGCCAAACATCAGTATCCTTCTGATCGTTCTACCTCCGACAAAACTGGTCTGCTGTGCGCCGAATCGAGTGAATGCACTGTCACAAAGCGATCTGACCCCATATAGGGTCGGTGTTCGGAGTAGCCTCCTTATATGCCTATATACTCATTCTGCTATTTGTCCCGTCCAATTCCACTGCGGAAAATCTCTGTAGTTCAAGTTGGATGCAATACTTCACTTCTCGTTTTCGCTTACTCAGGGTTCTTTCTCGCACATGTATTTATTTTACTCAACACTTTGTATTTGCACACCTTAACATTGCTACTTTGTATTGTGTTTGTACGAATACGTTCCTTTTCATTGGCCCATCATGGACCAAAACATGTAATGATTCTTGTCTCTCACATACCACTATCACTTATCTGTGTGTTCTGCTTTCAACGGAGGTATGGCTACGTCACTATAAAATGTCAACCTTATAGCAACCGCCAGTGCTAGTCGTCGACTTCTTCATAGTCCCTCTCACACCTTGCCTTCTGGTTCCAAAGCAGGCAGTTACTTCCGCTTGCCATCCATTGCACGGCAACGGCGAACTACAGGAACCCTGTAGGCTTTGTTTATGCATCTTGCCTGTGGGAATCTTCGGCTGCTCTTGTGGCCGATACCGAGCCCTCTTCCGGACGGACTGCGTACACAGCGCTGATTAAGTGTTTCCGTCAGTTTATTGATACCTCTCCACATTGTTGGCGGGCTACTTCTGGGCATGTCATGGTAGATGGCCGATAGGCGTTTGAAAAACACGACTTATCTAGGATAGACCGTTCATATGCAAAAGCCAATCCATTACTAAATTGGAGGCCTCCTTGCGAAGTCTCAACTGACTGGCGTTAGCATCGCTTTCTTGGTGGTTACTGTAAATATCAGCCACGCTCCGTGGGTACTGATGATCACAACCGGCCAGTTTCGTAAGAACTACAGCACTCATTGTCCATTTCTCTGGTTCATACATGAAAGACAGCCGTACACTTTATTCCTGGAGGATGAACCGCTATCTCACCGTCTCCATCGATGTTTGAAACCTCAAAACTTCACGGGCTCTGCTCATACACACCGTGACTTCTTTAGTGGTTTCATCATCAGAGAGGACGCAGCTACTTAGAGCGTCCGCTTCTTGTGACCATCCTCTGAAAATTAAGCTGGTAGTATATGTCCATTCTTCCGGGAATTCCTAACGTTACAAGACCGCATAGTGCTTACCAACACACGCAACTTTCATCTGCTGACTCACCCGGAAACGTTTGCAATTAAACTAAAGTTCAGCCCGGAAGAGGCTCATCTGCCGCACTCTAAATTTGTCCTCTTTTGGCTTGGAAGCACCTTTATTGCATACGAGTCAGAAATGGTAATCTTTTGAGGTCTTTTCGATCACATGGTCGAATAGAAGAGACAAACGTATCACTTCTGGTGCATCCTACTAGCACTGATCCCCATAAGCATAATTACCACCGCCAACCAACACTCGAACATTCCCGGGGCCGCTGGCAAGATGCGGTTTCTGAGTGTGGCCGACACTGGTGCTGAATATCGAGATGGATCGACTTACGTGATCTAACTAAACCGATATATGCTTGAAAAACCTATCCACAGTAGATGAGCAAGTGGCTTCGAAAATCTATTAGAGGCTATCGCAATTAGCATTCGACTCGTTCGCATCCGTCAGTGACGACTGATAACTTTGTTATTTCTGGATTGCAAACTATGGGTCCATGTGTCAAGTAAAGGGTCCCGAACTTGCAGGTGGAAAATACCTCAGGTATTGTGCCGCAATACAAAAGAAGAGAGAAAAAAACAAGACAGACACGCCGGCTGAGTCACCAGTAGCAGATGGACATCGTTTCGGATAGCTAACAGCCGGATATTGTGCCACAAAAAGGAGTTATATTACACCTAATAAATGAGGTCGTGGTTGGAGGTGGGAGGGAGGGACAAAGAAATACATAACACAAACGCCACTGAGTTGGGCTCTTAGTCATGTCGACAAATGTATCCAGCCAGACGTGCTCATCATTTTTCGGACCCCAGCCAGGGTGCCGAGACGCTCCAACCGACGCCAGCTTTGAAGTAAGGGCCTTCATTCCTCTAGACCAAATTATCGCTTGACCACCCCCTCCTCTTCTTACATCCACACCCCCGGCGGGCAGACAACGCACTTCTCGGGAGTCGGCGGGCTAGCATGCGTAAGACATGGCCGAGCCATCGGAGCCTGGTGCGTGAAATAACGATGCTGAGTGATTCGCTTCGATCTTATCAGATTGGACGTACGAGGGGTGTTCAAAAAGATACCGAGTTTTTGAAATAGCGAGGCAACTGGCGGTGTGAGCACGCTGCTGCTACTGGGCGCCTATGATGGCTTGCTTGGACAACAAACTGCCACTTGCCGCATTTCGCTCTGACTGTTAGTTGGCGAGCTACAGCCGTTGAAGTGAGCACGCGCACAAGCTGTTCATCGGAGTAGTGTCAAAGAGATAATGAAAGAGCACAACGCGCGTGCGTGTGAAATTTTACTACAAACTTCGTATCACTTCTACAGGGACATTTCATTTGTCTAGCCAAGCATACAGGGTGGACTGTGTGAGTCGCACGTAGTGATATGAGTGCTCTAAGTGTTTTGAACAAAATAGAATGTCGGCCGGTGACGAACCCAAGCCGAGACGACCATCCAAATCAACGGGATGACTATTTCGAGAGAGTTCTTGCTGTGATCCTTGGAAATCGTGGTTTAACTGTTCGATAACTTTCTGAGGATGTGGGCATCAGCGTTGGATCATGCCATCAAATTCTATCGCGTTTGAGGGATGCTGTGCGCAGGAAGAGGCCTGGACTGTGGGGAAGACCAGACTTGGATGTCGCATCATGACAATGCGCCGGCTCACGCACCGCTCCTTGTCCACAGCTATCCAGCCAAACATTACACTCTTGTTGTGCCCCATCCACCGTATTCTCTGGACCTATCACCTGCAGACTTTCTCCTGTTTCCCAAACTTAAAACCACGTTTCAAGGACGTCGTTTTCAAACCATGGAAGGTATTCATGACAATACGACAAGAGCTCTGCGCACCATCTCAGTAAGTGGGTTCCAGGGGGCTTTCAAAAAATGGAAGCACCGTGAGGTACCTTGTATTGCTAGTAGAGGGGATTACTTTGAGGGGGAAGGGGCTTAAAATGTTGCTCAGTGAACAATAAACATGTTATAGCAAAATTTCGGTTTGTTTTTGAACACCCATCGTATACCGCTCACTAATCGCTGACGGCATTATACGAATGTCAGTAATGAAGATGATTTGAAATACATGGAAGCACATAATTAAGAATCTGACCGCCGTTATCAATATCATCGTCATCATACACGTTAGCTAGAGGTGGGGAACACCTCGGCTACTGTGCCGCAATACATGGAAAAAAGGAGAGCAAAAATGCAACTGGTGCAAGCTGGCTGAGCTACCGGTAACGGATGGGCATCATTCCGGTAAGCTACCAGCCGGCTGCTGTGCACCAAAAAAATTACTATGCAACATAATATAAGGCTAAGTAATGAGATTGTGGTTGGAGGGGGAGGCTAAGAGGGATGGGGTGGGACGAAGAAACTCACAGCACGAACGCCACTGAGGTCGGCTCCTAGCCATATCAGCAAGTTTGTCCAACCAAACGTGTTCATCGTCTTTCGGACCCTAACCAGGGAGCCGAGACACTCCGACCGAGGCCAGCTCAGAAGTGAGGGCCTTCATTCCTCTGGACCAAGTCATCGCTTGACCACCCCTCCTCTTTTTCCATCCACACCTCTGGCGCGCAAACAACACACGTCGCGGGAGTTGGTGGGCTGGCATGCGTAACACGTGGCCGAGCCATCGGAGCCTGATGCGTGAAATAACGGTGCTGAGCGGTTCATTATCTTTTCCTGTGTCGCTGATGCTTGATTCCGAAACGGCCTCTATGGACGATTCACGTGAGCATTCATGTCTCCAGTAACAATCACTGCATGTGCTTTAACAGTTTATAAGTGCTTATTCGTACAAGCTGTTTTACTGTAGATCTTATCTATCAGCGTCAACCCTGTCCTCTGCAATATTCGTAACTTGCACGGAATTGGGGATGAGACGCGCCATATGGCAGTTGGCTTGTGAATTATGCAGGCCTTCACTGTCCCCCGTGTACCATTGGCATAAACTGCTGGCTAGTTGCCATGGATTCGGATCCTAATGGAGCCGATAGACGCCCGTTACTGACAAAATGCCGGTGTAGTGCTTTTACGGGTGTGTGGATGTTTAGTCGAGCTGGAAGTTGCTCCGATGAAACGGACAATTATTTAATCAGAGCGCGTTTATCTGCATTTGGAACTCCGCCACCTTCGGTGAGTAACCATTTCGATTTGTTCTAACCTTTGTTTATTCTTGAACCCAGTCTAGGTCTTTCTTTTCTAATGCAGGACTATCTGGCTTCTTCTGTTGTGACGTCTCATGCATCTCTCAATCTTTGATCATCATCACCTACAAGGCACCACGCGTGTCGTGTGGTACGAGTGCATGCACTGTCGATCATAATCTTTCTTTTAGGCAACCAGAAGCGTTGACGCTCATTTTTTCGTTAGACAAACGCGTAAGATTGCCTACTTCGCGTTGGTTCGTGTAATTATCACAAAACTTAGGGGTGTTGTTTTGTTTATCGATTTAAGCATAGTGTGGGAATTCTTCAGGGCAACTATTGTCCTGGAAGTTGAAAACAAAGCCGCTAACCCGTATTTCAGGTGTCGTTGGTCCGTTTCGCCTCATAGTTTGTGGTTCAGGCAACAAACGCCTTTCGGTAATATCGAGGCATTTCGGGATATGACACAAATCCGACACCATCAGCATGCTTACTGTCGTCTCAACCGAACTATCTGGTTTATGTGTATACGGTATTACTCCTTTGTGAAATAGCGTTGATGTGTAGTGGGGCATGGTAACCAACCAAATAGACATATCGAACATACTGGGAACACCCGTAACTTCCGAATCGTGTGAAAATGACATAAATTGCTAAGTAAAACCTGTGGAAATTTGTTCACGGCAAACCACACAAGACCCGTCGTTTTGATCAGTGATGAAAAGTGTCAGCCATAAGCCGTCCAATTACTTCATTCGCTTCCAAACGCTCACGCGCAGCGCCACCAGTCACACTCCCGCTTGTATCACCTCACCACGACCTTTTACAGATTTGGATGTTCGGAGGGGGGGAAGTTCACTCACTTGGCATCGGCTACTCCCCCTATGCAACCTTTGAAATGTTGGTTCCGTGCTCAAATTACGAAGCTGGATGCCACCAGATTGTCTATTCACTTCATTAGTGGCGGTGATTTACCTACGAGTCCCATCTGACTGGTTTAGC